TAATAATAATAATAATAATAATAATAATAATAATAATAATAATAATAATATACAAAATACTAATGTTTTGATCATCATTTTGAAAAATATTTTCTTAGTGAACACTTAGAAGCCAAGAGGAACATACGTGCCAAATTATAAGTTTGTAGGTTTTATGGTTCTAGAGATTTCATGATGATGCGTGAGGGGTATTTCACATAGATAGATAGATAGATAGATAGATAGATAGATAGACAGACAGACAGATAAAAAGTAGGTAGGCGGGTAGGTAGATAGGTAGATAGATAGATAATAAGTAGGTAGGTAGAGATAGATAGATAGATAGATAGATAGATAGATAGATAGATAGATAGATAGATGATAGATAGATAGAATGATAGATGATAGATAGATAGATAGATAGATGATAGATAGATAGATGATAGATAGATAGATAGATAGATAGAAAGATAGATAGATAGATCTATCAGAAAGAATTTGGGAGGCCCCCAAAGACTACCCCTGAGGCTCTGAGGGCATCATTACAGCTTCCAATGGTGGACCTCTGGTTCTGGGAAGGTCAACTTGTCCATCTACTTTGGCAACGCTGATCTGAAGCTGTGGAGCTGTGATGCCTACAAATCAGCACCCGCTTCTCCCTTCCTTCAGTTGTGAATTTGGTTTTGCAATTTAATAGTAGACGTCCCCTTCCATATATCACAATACCCTGACGTGCTTCTCAGGAATTTTTTTTTTGTTCCTATACCAGGAAAACAAAGACCTAAGATTATGCCTTTCTCGATGCTGACTTTTGAAAATTTGATCCTCAATTCTTATTTTTTTAGCTTTGGGAGTCCAGTTGGCTTCATTAAGCCTGGAAACACAACTTGAAACTTGGCCAAAACTGTCGCTCAACCCTGAGCTACCAATATTCTCCTTTATTAGCCCAAACTACCTATTTCCAAAACCAAGGAAGCATTTCTCTTCTATACCTTCTCATTTGTAGAAAAGAAGACTGTGAAGGTATCTGATATTATATACATATACATATCTGGTATTAGCACAGTTGAGAAAGTCCAGAAATATTTCACAAGAAGAGTTCTCCACTCCTCTACTCGTTGTAGAATACCTTATGCCACCAGACTTGAAATTCTAGGCCTAGGAAACCTTGAATTACGCCGTCTTCGGTCTGATCTAAGTATGGTATATAAAATCATACATTGCAATGACTTACCTGTCAATGAATACTTCAGCTTCAACCATAACAACACGAGAGCAAACAATAGATACAAACTCAAGGTAAACCGCACCAAACTTGATTGCAGGAAATACGACTTCAGCGACAGAGTGGTCAATGTCTGGAATACTCTACCTGACTCTATGGTTTCTTCCCCAAACCCCAAAAACTTTAACCTTAGACTGTCTACTATTGACCTCACCCCTTTCCTAAGAGGCCTGTAGGGGGCATGCATAAGCGCACAAACGTGCGTCCCTGTCCTATTGTTTCTTTTATTTTTCTTATATGTACCCATTTCATGTATTCATAACTATGTCTATACTTATACCTATTATCTTGTAAGCACTTGACAAATCAAAATAAATAAAAAATAATAATGCCCCACTCTTCCCCACGTGCCTGTCCTGTCCACCGGGCTGCTTATCTCCGCTTCTTTCTTCTTCTGCTTTTGGCTGCATGCAATGAAAGCAGCCAACGTCTTTCTTTCTCCCCCCCAAACTCCACCAGAAATGAGTCTTTGGGACCCTGCAGGCCTCCTGCTCCAAGAGGCTGCACCAGCAAAGACTCCTTTCTGGCGGAGTTTAGGGGAGAGAAAGAAAGACTTCTGCTGCTTCTGCTGCTTTCCTTGCATGAAGGCGAAAGTCTCTCTCTCTCTCTCTCCCTCTCTTTCCCCCTGAGAACGGAGCTGGAGACGGTATCCTGCGATCCCAAATAAGGAATGATCGATTGGTAGGAAAATGGAGTGGGGAATTTTCCTGCAGACTTTTTTGGGGGGATATTTTCCCAGGGTCTCTGTTCCGCCGGATTTAAAAGGATGAGTTTGATGGTCTCTGAGGTCCTAAAGGTTGGTGACCCCAGCTGTAGATGTAGAGGCTTCAATTCCTAGACCTCCATTTTACCCTGCCAAGAATTCTGGTAGCTAAAGTCCATTTTTTGGAAGGACTATTGGGAGAAAGCTGCGCTGAGCATTTCCACATGCTTACTTATTTGCACATTATGTTTCTAGAAGACCCCACAAACCTGACCCTCTGCTTTCAAAGAGGCTTTTGCAGCAATTAGACTTCTCAGTTTCCTTCAAGCTACCAAATGGGGTTGTTACAAAGCCAGCTGAGGCAGTCATCTCAAACATGGATGAAAATCTTTCTTTAAGGGTTATTGCTTGAAAGCTTACAGGCTAAAAAGGCAGCAATTTGCACACTTTCGAGTCAAAGAGAGGGCCGGCTCTTTAAGACTGTCTGATGATAGATGACAGGTACGTTCCCAGATGATGTCACTCATCTACTGCCCAATCAGAGATAAGGATTTCTCAGACAGAATTTAATGAGCAGAGAAATATTTCCCATCTGAATTGTCCGGCTTGCTGGTAGTTAATTCACTTTTCAAAATTCACTGCAGGAAGATACATTTGGTAGGGCTTTGTTAACACAAGCCTTTTATTTCTGAATTGTTTAACCTTTGGAGGTGCCCCCCCCCCAAATGTT